GTCTCAGATTACCTATTTAGTTCCCTTCTCTCAGAGGTGGTCTCTGAAGAATATACAGATACAGAATTATAGAACATATTTCTGTATTCTATACAGATATATAAATATAGAATATACAGATATAGAAAGGTATCAGATATTAAAAGATTTGGATCAGATGTAGGTTATGTGGCGTGACTGTTGGTAGATGTGTGGCTAGAAAGGTGTCTCAGCCTGTGGGATAACAATATGGAGAACCCAGGGGTGGGATCATCCTTCCAGTACAGACTACCTCCTTCCTTCCCAACCATCCCAGAAATGCAGGCTTTTCCTTATCGAATTGGTGAGCAGGAGAGAGGAGGCATTTGATTAATAATAGTACAGTACCTAATGCTTACATAATACTAATAGCACTGAACTATCTGCCTGGCACTCTTTTGAACTGTTTCTACGGAGAACTCATTTAATCTTAACGAGTCAGTGATATGGGTTCTCTTATCATCTCTGTCACCATCAACTAATCAGTCTCCGTGGGGGCATTACACCACCTTCCAGGTCCTAGATAATGGCGGCCTGCCCCCAGAGAACCATTCCTTTAGAGGGACCCCACAATGACTGCTTGTGTGAAGAGTTCTCTTATAAAGTAGACTCTGACCTTCAGTCTGTTTTCATGAATCTGGATTTTTGTGCAAACCAAGGTATACCTACAGCAGTGGCCACTTTTCCCGGCTTCATCCCAGCAGCCCAGTGGCTCCCCCCATCCCACCCACTCTGCCCTTCCAGGTGTCACTTTATCAGTTTGGTTCCTGAGGCTGGTGACCTTGGCTGTACCTTTTGGTTCATTCCCTTCTAGCATCTTACCCCACATCTAGTAATTACGATCTCTGGTACCTTTATAGGTAAGGATCCCCCCCCCCGCCACTCCCCGGAGTTCTTTCTTTCCTGCTGCCTACCCTTTTAGAACAACATTAATTAATATCTAAACCTGAGTCTCCCCACCTTTTCCTGGTGGTAAGAATCGCCTGTGGGAACATCTGTAAACACAGATTCCTGGGCCTCCTCATCAGGAGATTGTGATCTTGGTGTTTGCAGACCGTCCACTGGGCTGTCCTGTCACTTCCTGACTCAAAGCAAGCACAGGAGTTGCTTGGTTATTGGTCTTCTCTTTCCTGTGTGTCCCCTCGTGGTTCCTTACCCTTGATCTCTCAGTCACCCAAACCACCTCTTTCTTGAGAGACCAGTGCTGGTCACCAGTCAGGCCTTGCCTAGGCTCCTTGACCCCTTCTCCAACTGAATACTTCTTTATTTCTCAGAGCAGAGGCTGTGAAAGTGGGGTCTGGGGGATATGAGGCTCTATTTGTTCCCCTTGCCTTCTAGAAATTGGGAAATTAAAAAAAAAAAAAAAAAGGCAGCAGCTTGCTGATTTCTTTTGAAAAGAAAGACATCTGAGCCTCCATAGCCCAGCTAGAACCTGGCACCCTTGGACAGAAACCAGCTGGGGGTTGGTGGCTGGGCCCTTTGTTGGGCCAGGGATATCCAGTTCAACGCAGTCCTCACCACTCTCTCCTAGATGCCTCCCATGCTCATTTTCATGACTCTCTGGCTCCGAAGGCATTTGAGCTTGGGACCACCTTTTGCCTGTCCCACTGAGAGTGCCATCTGCTCTGCCTCTCAGAATCCTCCCCACCACTGTGTCCTACCCACTCCATAAATCCTTCCCTCCACCTTCTCCTCGAATCCCCAGAAATGCCTTCCTTCCTCCTGAACTCTTCTCCTCAGTCAAGTTTTTCAGAAATGCCTTCCACTATCTTGAGCTGTGGTTTGTCTCTTATCTGCATGGAGGGTTTTCTGATTCCTGACCCTGCTCCATACTACAGGTGACATACGTCTTTCTCTGTATCTTTGACAGGGCTTAGGCTCAGCCAGTAGCTGTCTCGTTGTATTATTTGGTGGTGGTGGTGGTGTGGGGGGTGTCTCCAGGAACATACCAGATAAGCTTCCTAAGCACCCTCTTAAAGTTCTGTCAGAATTGCTCCTTGGGGCTAAAATACTGAATCCATTAAAAATTTCTCCATTGAAGGGTGCCTGGTTGACTCAGTCTGTGGAGCATGCAACTCTTAATCTTGGGGTTGTGGGTTCAAACCCCACGTTGGGTGTAGAGATTACTTAAACCTTTAAAACAAACAAATAAATACATTTCTCCATTGATTTGTTGGGAGAGGATCCCAGATAATGGACTCTGAAGTCAGGCAACCCGGCTTCATGTCTCCGCCCTACCACTGAATAGCAATGTGACCCTGGGAAAGAGCTGAACTTCTCCAGACCTGATCCCTCCCCCTTTAACACAGGCTGTGTGGAGGCTAAAATGATGATGCATGCCTGGCATTTAGCATGGCGCCTGGTATATGGTAAGGCCTGAATAAATAGTAGCTGTTACTGTCTTGTTCTGAACCTCGTGCCAAGTTCTAGGCCAGTTGCTGGGTCTCCAGGAGACATGAGATGTGGTTGGCCCTCAGGAAGTGCTTGTCCCAACCGGATTTGAGGTGACTCCAGAGAGTCAAGTACCAACATGGGATTTTGCCTAGAGGACGGGGGAACACAGAGATCCTGGGTGGTCAAGGACAGGGAGGTGAATTTAGGCTGGCCTTGAAGCCCCCATGAAATGTTATGCTGGGCAGCTGCAGAAGCATAATAAAGGAAAGACACAGGGCAGGTGAGGAATAGCATGGGGGCAGCGGGTGGAAGTTTGTGGTAAGAGGCGCTGTTAGGAAGAGAGGCCAGGTCAGACCAGATGTCCAAGGGCCTTGTTAAAGGAAGTGTTGTTAGCTTTGGCGAACTATGTATAAGCCACCTAGTTAAATTTGAATTTCAGATAAGCAACAGATAATTTTGAAAGTGCAAGTATGCCCCCAAATATTGAATGGGTTATACTTAAACTGAAAGAATGAATTTTGTTGTTTATCTGAAATTCAAATTTAACTGGTGAGACAGTAGTTTATCTGGCAACCCTGCTTGTATGCCTGGTTCCCAAAAGGCCCTGCTCAAGTGCAGACAGGTTTTATTCAGGAGGAAGAATTCTGTTAACTTGTTGGATCAGATTTATTTTTCAGAGTAGCGTGAAAGTGAAATGGGACTTAAGGGAGGTCAGTTGAGGGGTTAAAGAGTAGGGATAAAGCAGGCAGCCTGGCAGGACACATAGGGGCCCTGTCTGGACAGGCAGCAGTGAGAGGGCCGGAGCTCTGGAAGAAGGCTGGCTCCAAGGAGGTCTGAGGGGGGCCTGGGTCCCACCCAGAGCCAGGAGGGTTCTCTCCCACTTTCCCAGACTGAACCCCTAAAAGGGGCCTGGCTTAGCTGACGGGCCTTTTGCAGGCTCCCTGTGCCCAGGTCTGGACTATTGGCAAGGGTTTGTGGCTCACAGGTGGGACTGGAGAATAGGAGTGATGAGGACAGTCATTGTGGGAGAGAATACTCAGCTCTGTCTCTGTGATAACAAGGATGGACCAGGAGAAGAAAAGAAGGACAGAGGCCACAGGCTGCTGGGGGGGTGTTCTCTGTGCAGGCAGCAGGCAGTGGGGACAGCCACTGGAGGGTACCCGCAGTGGCTCCCTACAGTCTATAGAACAAAGCCAAGAGTCCCCAAGGTGGGTCAAGGTCATTCACAGACTGATGTTACCTTCTCACTCCTCTTGGCGACCCTTCCCCCACGCCCCAGGCACATGGAACCTCCTACAGTTCATAATGACAACCATCATGACAGTCCCACTAACATTGGAGTACTTAATATCCTCCGACTGAGCCACCCAGGCACCATCATCCATGGTTTTTAACTGGATTCTCACTGACGCTCCACAAGGCATGTAGAGAGGGTTCTATTAGAAGTTCAAGGCTAGGGGCACCTGGGTGGCTCAGTGGGTTAAAGCCTCTGCCTTCGGCTCAGGTCATGATCCGAGAGTCCTCGGATCTAGCCCTGCATCAGGCTCTCAGTTCAGCAGGGAGCCGCTTCCTCCTCTCTCTCTGCCTGCTTCTCTGCCTACTTCTCTGCCTACTTGTGATCTCTGTCTGTCAAATAAATAAATAAATAAATAAATAAATAAATAAATAAAAGAGGTTCAAGGCTAGTGATCAACTCTTTGGAAATAGAGATAGGAATAAAGTAGCCCCGAAATGTTTCTGATTTTCATTTGCCGAGTTAGGAAATAAAACCCCCAAGGTCAGCAACAGCCAACTTTCTAGAAAAATGGAAAGGAAAAGAAATGGACGTGTAGAGATAGACCTGGGACCTTCTTTCATCTTCTCAGCAACCCAACGTGGAAGCAGTGGGGAGTGAGGAGATGACTGAGGAGATGAGTGGGTGGGTGCCTCAATGAAGCCCCATGTGCCCCAGAGGCTGGCCTCTTTTGTGAGAACACCACAGACATAGCTGCTGGGGTCCTCAAAGAAGTCACCACACTCACACTCAGGGAAGTCCAAAGCCATGGATTCCCCACTCATAGATTCTTCCAGTCCAGGTATAGTTTACCATTCTGGGTCATTTTTTCCAAAGCAGTATTGCCTGCTTGTGTATGGAGTTGCCACACTCCAAGAGACATGTTAACAGGGAGTTAACTCATGCTGAAGGGAAAAGGCTTTGTTCACCCTCTACCCACACTTGGATATACCGTGTATTCGGTAACACCTCCTGGGAGGTGGCGGTATCCCATAAGCAGACATTAATATTCCTGCAGCCAAATGTATCCCATCAACAGCAACAGGAAGTGGGAAAAGTAAAGATTAAACTAACCTCAAAGCAGCTCAGGTCAGGTTTTGTACCAAATGGGTTACGAGACTATGTTTCAGTATTCAGAACTTTTGGAGGTTGGTATTTGGAAGGGGGGGTCCCAGAGCTGTACCTTTCTTTCCCTCTTAGGAAATTCCTTGAAACACGAAAGAAGTGCAGTTTGCCTACTTTACCATGAGAGGGCACCCCGTTATCATTTTGTTCAGGATCCTTGCAAATGGAGGTTTTTTTTTCCTCATTTCAGCTTGCAGATGCCAGCAAGTTACCCAACCTGAAAGAACTTCTCCAGTCTTCTGGAGACAAAGACGTACGGGCCAGGGATCTGGTGAGCTGGATTTTATCCTCAAAGGTCCTGACAGTCCACAGTGCAGGGAAGTCAGAGGTGAGACTTTGGTCTATAGGACAGCAGATCCCTAGGGCTGAAGGGCTCTGGGACCTCCTCCTACACCAGAAAGGCCTGGGAAGCTTGCTGAAAATGCAGCTTCCTGGACCTTGCCCTGAGAGATGCTGATTCTGTGTCTGGAGTGGGCTCAGGAACTTGCACACTGGCAGTGCGAAGCAGTGTTCTCGCCGTTACGGTGAACCTGGAGCAGGCCACCGGGTACATCTCAGTATCTCCGCCTCCTCATCTATAAATAGTGTACTTCCATTAGGGAACTGGCTGTGAGAATGGCATGAATATTCCCAGCTAGAAGAATGCCTTAGGGTACATGCTAAGGGCTCAGGAAATGTTGGGTATCACAACGGTGGACCCTTGACCACACCTTAAGAAACACTGGCCTCATCCAGTTGTCAGGAAACACAAAGGCAGAACCTGGTTCATGAAACACTTCAGGCACTGGGGTCAAATCCCACTTGCATCTAACATTCAGTCTCCTTTTCCCCATTTGAACATTGAGAATATTAATAGTTACCACAGAGGGGAGCTATGGTAGAATGTATGGCACCCCCAGTATAGTTTGTGGCACAGACTAGACATTCCGTAATCTGGTTTCCCTTGCCTGGCCAGCATCTCCCAGGGTCAGGCTGGGAGGACAAGGACCGGGGCATGGGACGGCAGACCCTCTGGCCTTGTGCTCGTGCCTCAGAACAGAAGCAGGGGTTTATCTGTGTTGTTCTTTACTTCATCAGTTTCCATTTAAGAGCATTTAATTTTTACAAGCTCCTGCCAAAGACAAAAACCCTCTTCAAGTGGCAGAGAATTGGGTGTTTCAGATTCTGGTGTCTAGGGGTGTCCACCTGTGTTGGTAAAGGGTCAGTAACAGAGAGCCCTGGAGTGGTAGTCAGGAGATCCATAATCAAGTCTGGGCTGGGTTGCTGACTCAGAGAAGATATCTCCGTTTCACTTCTATCATCTGCTAAGTTGAGATTTATTTATTCATTCCTTTATTTATCCTCTTCAAGCATCTACTAGATATTGGGTGCTGGAGCTAAAGTAGATAAGACAGTGGTTCCTTCACTTTTAATTATGGGTCAGTTAAATTTCGTTAAGATGTGGAGTGGAGTGTTGGCACTCCACATATGGAGTGAGGATTATTAGCTTTTTATTTTATAGCTCAAGTAAGGACATTAGGCTGCTATGTCTCATCACTTTATAAAAATATGTTTTAGTACAAAAAAGGAGGATGGCCTCAAAAAAATGACAAAGACAGGCTCATGGCAACCTGACAGCAATATAAACGTATTTGTTACTTTGTCCTTAGTTTTCTCATTTAATCACAACCCAGAGAAAACTTTGCCACAGACTGGTTTTGGTCTATGACTTACTGTTTAGAAATTACCCAAATGATGTGGTCCCTGCCCTGAGAAGGATCACTGCCCGTCAGGAAGAGCTTACTCTTCCGTATTAATTTGGTTTTGTTGCGTAACAAACCATTCCCAAAACCTAGTGGCTTAAAACAACATTGATTGTTTCTCAAGATTCAGTGGATTAGTTGGGTTGTTCTTCTGGATGGGGCTGGATGATCTAGGGTAGCTCACAGGTCTAGGTCTTGAGCTGGAATGGCTGCTGTGGTGGGGGCCTCCTCTGTGAGGCCCTCATCCTACTGAAGGTTAGCAGGGGTTTTCCCCATGGCAGTGAAGGGTTCACAGCAGCAAGCCATTTTCAAGTTTCTGCTTGCTGTATTTGGCCAGGGTCAGAGCAAGTCACATGGCCAAGTCCAGATTCAAGGGGCAGAGAAGTAGATGTCACCTCTTGGTGGAGTTCTGGAGTTCCCACCTGCAAAGTCAGTTACAGAGGGGCAAATGGACAAGGATGGGAGGAAACATTTTTGGCCATTCTTGCACTTGATCCCACCTTTCTACCTCCTGAGATTATTGTAAAGATGGAATGCAGGAAATGGATGTGATAGTGTTATGAAAATTAGAAGTAGTCTTTAGTTAGAAGAAAGAGTTAATGCTTTGCAGCTTGGTGTAGGGAAAAATAGTATTAGAGGGAAGCAGTCTTGAGCTGTAAGCTCTGAGCTTATTTATGAACTGTTGTCTGTATTCTCATGCAACTAGTTGTTCTCATGAGCAGAGCCCGTAGGAGGTAAGCCCAAAGCTTTCGGACGCCATTTTGCAGCACATCTTACCAGGTTCCCAAATAAAACTGCCACATCCTACGTGTTTTCAAGTTCGAAAAGATCCAAAAGCTGACTGGTGCCCCTCAGACGCCTGTCCCCGTGCCGGACTTCCTGTTTGAAATTGAATACTCCAACCCAGCGAACGCCAAATTTTATGAGACCAAAGGAGAACGGGACCTAATCTACGCCTTCCACGGGAGCCGCCTCGAAAACTTCCATTCCATCATCCACAATGGGCTGCATTGCCACCTAAACAAGGTGGGGCCTAAGCCTCCTGACCTGGGGGTCAGAACCCTGGGGAATTTGCTGGTAGAGGGTGGGGGGAGGGGCTCACTAAGGCCTTGCCCCTCCTAGTATAGTCTGCAGACCAGTAGTAACACCAGCACCTGGGAGCCTGTGAAGATGCAGAATCTTGAGCCCACCCTAGACCTTCTGAATTAGAATCTGATTTTTAATAAGCTCTCTGGGTGATTCCTGTACTGATTACAGTTTGAGAAGTATTGATTTGAAGATGGTGCCCAACCTTGGCTGCCCATTTGGAACCATTTGGGGAGCTTTTAAAAATCCCAGTGCTTGGCTGCATCCCAAACCAATTAAATCAGGATCTCTGGGTATGGGGCCCAGACACCAATATGCTTTAAAAGTCTGGTGATTCCAGGGTATAGGCAATCTTTATGCTCAGCATGGTCCCTGGCCCAGCCACATCCACATCACCTGAGAACTTGTTGGACTTGTGGAATCTCAGCCACACCCAAGATCACCTGATATGGGATCACTTTAACAAGCTCACCAGGTGACTTGTAGGCATGTAAAAATTTGAGAAGCACTTGCCTAGGAGGAGAGCCTCCTAGGAGCCAGAAAAGACCACTTTAGCAGCTCTGTGTCTTGGGCAAATTTCATTAACCTCTCTGAACCTCAGCGTCCCCATTTGTAAAATAGGACGTCATTACCCACCTTCTGGTGTGCTGAGAGGATTCAAACAGTTCATATATGCAAAAGGCTCTTCCCGTACTAGACTCCAAGAAAGCAAGGGCTGCTTTCATAGGCGGATGGAGAGGGAATCTGGGGTAATTGGAGGGCTTCGGCCTTCTGCCTCATCAGAGGGTCTGGTTCTGTGAGCCATGGGCTCAGCTGTGGCTGATGCAGCCCCGGGGCTAGAGAGACTTTTCCAGCACTGCTGTAGCTGATTAGTGCAGTTGGGTTTTGCGTAGGATGACGGGCTTGTTTATACTGGCTCTCAGCTTATTTTTATGGCCAGGCTACTGGAATCCAGGGGGCCTCTGCTTCATGGTAGAGCCAGCTTGGAGAAGCTGCCTGCAGATTACAGGCTTGTACAGCAAACCTTCACTTCACTCACTGTCTGGGGAGTCGCTGTGTAGAGGCATCTCCTCAGAGTCCGTTGGTAAAGCGGATGCTCCATTGGCCACTTCTGTCTGGGTTTCCAGTGAGGGGCTTGCTTGAGGGAGCATACTTGCCAGTTGAAGCTGTGAGATTATTTTCACAGTACAGATACCCGACCTTTCCCACTCTTGTTTCTCTGCTCAGAGCAGTCTTGCTTGAGGTTCTTGAGTTGAGGGGGGTTTTGTCTGTGTATATATTACAGCCAGAGCTGAGAGTGGGTATGGAGTCAGAGCAGATGACATCCAGTGTCCTTGGAGAAGGTCTGTGTCAGCTTCTGAGACATGGGGACAGTGCCTAAGTTGGCAAGGGGCTTCCCAAAGGTAAAGCAAAGGCTCGAGTTTCATTCCCCCTAAGCTTCACTGAACCAGCTTAGAATTGTGGAAGCCTAGGGCCCCTGAAAAAGACATCTCTCAGTTCCCAAGCTTGGGATGTTCCGTGAGCAGTTTGAGTTCACTCAACAAATGCAGACACTGCAGCCCGAAGATAGCAATTGAATTCCAACTTCAATTTCAAAGTCCATCCATTGGTAGCAGCTACCTGAAATGAGAAGGATTCTGAGTCAGGATGACAGAGTGCCATGACTGGTACTGTTCTGCTGGCCATCATGGTTGATTATTGACCCTTTGCTGTGGTCTGCTGTGGGCAAAAGATGAGTTTGCTACACCTGCTGTAGCCTCAACCTATGGGTATATCACCTGGGCTCATTCTCTCTCACTTGACATGCTTCCTCATGGAGGACATCAAGTTAGCCCCTACCACTAGGGACCTGCCTCCTGGATTTTGGACATTTTCTTGGTTGACACCAATACGAAGAGTAATACTTACCCTGCCCCTAATACAGGCCTGCCTTATATGGTAACAGTTTCTGGTCTGAGATTCATTTCTTTTCCACATGACAACTTCGGTCCTTTCTACCCTCAAGTGTGATCCTCCTCCCTGTGCATAAGTGCATGATTTGGCTTCTGGAGGCTGTCAGTGTGACCATGCTAAATGCATTCATGTAACAGGAATGACTGATATACTGTGACACACATGCCCTCTCCTTTCATGGGCCGGGGTCCGGCTCAGTGTTATGTACATTATCTCATTGAATCCTCCTCTGTGATGTTGTGAAGGAGATGCACTTATCAACATTTTGTAGACGTAGAAACTGAGACCCAGAGAGTTTCTATAACTTGCCAGCTTGTTGGAGGTACAGTCAGGATTCAAACTCAGGTCTGTCGGGTCTCTTATATCTATGTTTTTCTCATTCAAACTTGACCACTAATTTGCCAGGCTAGGTGGGCACATCCACAATTAAGTTAAACTGTCGTCAGATGGGAATGTGTTTAACTACAACTCTGAGATGATGTCTTAGAATGAGCTGACATTATATACCTTTTCCCGGGGGAAAAAGAGGCTTAAGATTTTGTTGTTTACAGTTTTATTGAAGAAAGACCTATGTCATCTTGCTGTGCCAACTTTACATTCACTCAGCCCTGTTTCTTTGTTAACCTCTGCCATTCCAGACGTCCTTGTTTGGGGAAGGGACCTACCTCACCAGTGACTTGAGCCTGGCCCTCATTTACAGCCCCCACGGCCTGGGATGGCAGCGCAGCCTCCTTGGCCCCATCCTCAGCTGCGTGGCTGTGTGTGAAGTCATTGATCATCCAGATGTCAAGTGCCAAATGAAGAAGAAGGGTGAGTGAGCGCTTGGCCTGGGCCCGGGCTGCAGGCCTATTAAAAGTACAGGCTCTTATCGTTGGCTCATCTGTTGAGTGGAACACACATTGCCTGCCAAGGAATGGGCTGGGTCCAAAGCAACGTGGGACAGGAGCTTGCCTTTACAGAGCGAGCAGTCTCCTTGCAGACATGTGATAAAAAAGATACACTTACTACAAGGTGGTGGGCAGAGCGTACCAGGGGAGGGGGCTGATGAGGTCCACAGGGGCAGCTGAGAGGAAGGTACAATCATAGTATGTCCAAGCGCTCAGGGAAAGCTCTGGGGTAGAGAGGAGCTTCAATAGGTAAGGGACACCTGGGTGGTTCAGTCGGTTAAGTGTCTGCCTTCGGCTTGGGTCATGATCTCGGGGTCCTGGGATCGAGCCCCACATCGGGCTCTCCACTTGGTGGGGAGTCTGCTTCTCCCTCCCACTCTGTGCTCTCTCTCTCTCTCTCTCTTGCAAATAAATAAATAATTTAAAAAGTAGATAAAAGGAAAGGTGTGAGGCCAGAATGCGGGCTCTTTGAAGGCAGAAACTGGGTTTCAGTCACTCTTGGGCACCTGGTATCTGCAGAAAACCTGGGACGTACTTGGCATTCAGTAGGTTTTTGGTCAACTGAAGCTAAAGACACATGTCCAGACCCGTCCCTCCAGGCTACTTTGGTGTGTGCCTGGGTAGGCGCCCAGAGGATGTGAGAGGCACCCGAAGCTGTGGGGAGTAAATCCTGGGCTCTCTGGGGAGCGGATGACTAGCTAGCCACCTCCAGTCTGATCCATTCCTTCGAGTCTCTGCCTTGTGTGCTCTGCTGTTTTGCCCTTAGTGGTAAAAGAGTCCCAGAACTCTTACTCTAGTCTCCAGAACTGACTGGTTGGTTCCACTGAGAAAACTGTCTGTTCCTGGCCTCTAATGTAAAACAACTGGAATCCTGAGGAATGGGCCCAGGTCTGACGCCACCCTTCCAAAGCAGGCAGCATGAATATCTGCGTTTATAACTCTTAGGAAGTTTGCAAACTCTGACCTTAAACAACAGAACAAAACCTTGCAGTATCTGCTGTCACATAACTTTGTTTGTTTGTTTTTATCAAGCTTCATCATGTTATTAAAAAGTTTGGGGTTTTTGGTTTTGTTTTTTAAACAAGTCTTGGTACAAAGGATGGAACATGAGAGTTCTAAGAAGCTCGAAAATCTGGATGGTTAATTTAAAATGCCTGCTAAGGGACTCATTTTAGGTCAAGTCCTGTACCTAAGCCCAGATCGTTTTTTTGTGATGGCCATCAGTCCGCTTCTTCCCTCTGCTTTCCCAACTCCGTTTTTCCCCCCTTGTATCCCTTATTATTTTCCTGTTTTGTTTTGTTTTGTTTTGTTTTTGTTTTTCCCCTCTTATCTTGTTTGTCAGATTCTCCTGTCTTTTTGGTGCTCCTCTATACACCCAGACCCTTCCTCAGCCTGCTGGGGCTTCTCCACCCTCATGACCAGGAGGCTTGACCTGTTTCTATTCATAATTTGCTTCTCTTATTCCTGAATGTCCCCCAGTAAAGCTGTGCTTCATTCTCCTTGTTCAGATTCCAAGGAGATAGATCGCAGGAGAGCAAGAATCAAACACAGCGAAGGGGGAGACGTCCCCCCAAAGTACTTTGTGGTCACGAATAACCAGCTCCTGCGAGTGAAGTACCTGCTGGTGTACTCACAGAGGCAGCCCAGCAGGTAAGGCGGGCGGTCCCCACGAGAGGCCCAGGGCAGCACCGCAAAGCTGCATTCAGAGTGGCGGGTTCTCTGCTGCCAGCGTCCCTTGCTCCCCGGCCTTAGACTTGAGCAGTGTGTGAAGTATATAAAACACGAGGGGTGAGGAAGACGGGTCTGAGGAGATGGGGTCCTGGCCCTAAGAGGGACTGTGTGTTCCTAGTGAAGAAGATAGAGACTTGTAAACACAAATGACATGAGGGACTAAATGAAACCAAATTGGCTGCCCCAGAGCACGAGGCCCCCTCACCACCCGGGCTCCCGACTGCAGTCTGCACCCACTGACGGAGGTGAAGCTGAGAGGCTGGGTGGTGCCTGGACGCCAGCTGGGAACGTGTGCGCCCTGCTTGGTCACTCCCTGCAGTGGTGTGGACCCACCACCTGCTGCTCTCTGCACCTGAGCTGCTTCCTCTTTATCTCTAAAATGGGAGTTGAATTCAACAGCAGATGAGACCTTTCAGCCCCTCATAGCCATGGCCGATGCCTCATCCCATCTCAGCAATGTGGTAGTTGGTGGATGTGCGGGGATCTCTAGGGTCAAGGGTTGCTTTAAGATCCTGTTGCCTTGTTGGGGTCTGTGGCAGGGCTTCTGATGGGGACAAGCAGTAGAGAAGTAGGTAAGATAGGAAAGGGGGTCACCTTTAATACACCCCACTCCAGTGGTTTCCACGCTTTAAGACTTCATAAACCAGTAAAATCCTCCCCTCCCATGGCCGTCCCCCACATTTGGGGAAATTTGGATAGGGTTTCTGAGTCTGAGGAACATTATCCTTTGGTTTAAAACCGTCTGGCTTTTTCTACTTGAAAATTCCATTCCTCTCCCACTTCTCCCTGGAGTGTCTCTTAGTGTACACTCGGATGCTTTAGATCATCTCCTGGTGGGCCAAAGAGGGCTCCCCCAGCTCTGAATGATATCTGTACATGTGTCACCATGAAGAGACTTTTGCTAAGTAACCTGCCACCTGCTGCCATCTGGGCAGACACCTTGAGCAAGAACCTTCTAGATCCCAAAGTCTCACCAAAGAAAAGACAGGTCATAAAAGGTACAAGAGGAGCCATAAGAGAGATGATCAGGATGAGCTCATTGCATAGCTGTCTTTGCACATTTAGAAAATGTTCTGGTGAAAGATGTGTCTGTGCCAGGGCAAATAGCCTCAGATTTTTTGAGCAAAGGAGCATGCACGAAGCTTCATTTCATGGCTTACCCAGAGGATGAAATTCATCATTTCATCTTCTTTGAGCCAGAAGTTGTTGCATACACTTAAAAAAAAATGTTTTTCTCTTCTTGCCAACATCCTTTTTCCCCCCTTATGCAGGGCTTCCAGCCAGCTGTCCTGGTTTTCCAGCCATTGGTTTATGGTCATGATATCCCTGTATCTGCTGCTGCTGCTTATTGTGAGTGCCATCAATTCCTCAGCTTTCCATCACTTTTGGAATCGTGCAAAGAGATAATCCCTTGGGGCCTGGTGTGGGGGCCACCTCAACCACGTGCCTTATGATATAATCTGTTCTGTATCTCCCTTGCCCCATGTCCAACCGGGTGGAGTCTGGGGGCCAGCTGGGGACCACAGGACAATTTTCATACACCATAAATGTATTGATTGCCTTTGACAATGCTCCCGGCCACACTCTGGTCAGTGGGGACCATGAGGCTCCTCACTCTGAGGTTTCAGGGGAGTCCTCCTGTCTTCTCCTTCCTAAACAATCCTAGGGAGTTGGCTTTTCTGCCAGGGCCAAAGGAAAAAATCCTGCTGCATTTAAAAACAAAGTGTCCAAGCTGTCAGTGGTATGTTTACAATCGCTCCTGGCAGACCTTGGCCCTTTCTCTAATGCCTTCTGGAAGGCGGAATATGTGTAGTGGGGACTATAAATCATGAGGCGGTTGCCTTGTTTTGACTTGAGACACCCAAGAGGAACAGTCATGTTTCTCATAAAAATCGGTGGGATCGTTTCTGAATTCCATCAGCCTTTGTACATGAGTGCAAAACATTTTTGCAGTTTTCTCAAATCCACAAACAGCCTTCTGCTACAGTTGTCACCCCTCTGCCCCAACCATGGAAGAGAAAGGAAGGAGCCAGAGACTTGATAAAAAAGACAAACTTGACAATGAGCAACTCATGTCATCTTTTTCTAAAAATTACCAACTGCTGATTACAGCTGAAATGGAAACACGTTTGTGTTTTTTTGTTTTTCTTTTCTTTTCTTTATTTTTTTAAATAGCTATTTGACAAATTCATCTTCGGGAGCTGAGTAAAAGGGAGATTTCTAAACCTAGAGCACTCTTTGGCCGATGCCTGTAGTCTCTTTCCTGGCCATGTTTTAGAGAGCCACAGGCCTGCCCCCTATTCTCGTTCTCACGAAGCTGCCTTGACGGTGGCCTCCCAGCCACAAGTGCCACGTCGCAGGCCTTCTGTGGGCTGCCGGCCTTCAGGAGAGAGGCCTGCCTCAGTCTGCCACAAAGGTGCATGGACTGAGCCTTCCTTAGAGGGGTTGCAGGTCTTTGGGACTCAGCCTGGGCTTTAAAAGTGCCGAGGAAGCCTCTGGCTGCCCACGGGAGTTGTGCTTGCTGATTCTCTGCCCTTCCTTCCTGCCCTGTTTCAGCCATCATGGAGCCCCATCTGATCTGGGGGGTAGATTTCTATAAAGATGGTGGAAAGTCAGCTTTCTATAATCTGTGAAGTTGTGAAAAAGCCACTATCATGGTTTTTACATTGAGTATGGCAACATTTCAAAAATAATAAAGGTATTTTCCTAATTACTGAGCTGTCTTTGTGACTGCTTTTAGCCTCAGTGAGAGCCTGCCCTGTAGGCCTTGTTGCTAAAAATATTATCCTCTCCTCCCTTCCCTGTTCAAGGTAGCAGTTTGCTGGACAGCATGTATCCCCAGGTTATCTAGTAGGTGTTTGATTTCTGGTCACTGATTGAACAAATCTGAGCATCTGCTGTGTGCTGGGCACTAGAAATAGGAGGAGGATCAAGGTCAAAATGCCCCGCCCTCCTGGAGCCGAGGTCTGGCCAGGTTGGGTATGGGCAGACATTCCCAGAAGTGAGGTTGGATTATATGATATTACAAAGGAGTTTTGGGAAATACTTGGCCAGGAGCCTCACCTTCATCTGGGGTCAGGAAATATGGAGATGACATGTTTGGCACTGCAGAGCACCTACAGGTACTGATTTGTTTAATCCTGACACCAGATGAAAAATTGAAGTCCCAGAGTTTCCTAGCTTGCCCATGGCTACGTGGTCATAGAAGTGGCACAGAGCTGGGAGCTGCGCTGGGCAGGTTCTAGTGTGACTGTCATAACCAGTATCCTTGAAGGCCCCCAGGGTCTCCTGGCAAAGGTGATGTCCAACTGAAACCCGACAGAGCCATGGGTGTTAGGCTAAGAAGGGGAGGAAGAGTGTTTCAGGCGGTGGGAACAGCACATGTAAAGACCCAGAGTTCTCGCTGGAGAAGTTAAAAGCAGGAGGGCCATACAGTGGTAAGCAGTGGGGCTGGAGAGGTATGCAGGGGCCAGGTCATGCAAGACCATCAGAACTGAGGGAGAGCCACTAGGTTTTAAGCAAGGAAATGATAGGATCAGGTTTGCTTTCCAGGAAGACCCCTCTGGCTGGTGGTTGCAGATTTAGATTGAGCATGGTTTTGAGGATTAACAGGACTGACACAGTAGGGCTCAGCAAAGAGCAAATAGCTGGTGAGTTTAGTTTTTAATGGCCCAGTAGAGGGAATGAGAATGCAAAGGAGACCTAGCAGCAACGTCCAGGGAAATAGGAGGAAACCAAGACAGCAGAGTGTCATGGAAGCTAAAAGGGAAGTCTTGATGTGCTCTGTCAAATGCTTCGGAATTGTCAAGATTATACCTGAGAGGTATCCTTTGGATTTACCGAGTTGGAGATCACTGGTGAATTTGGTGGGAACAGTTTCAGTAGAGTTCAGCACAGGGGATGTGGACAAAGTCTGACTGCATAGACATGAAATGTTCACCGTTTCCAGCAATTCACAAGCAATCTTTCTTTAAAAACTAGCCTTTTGGGACACCTGGGTGGCTCAGTGGGTTAAAGCCTCTGCCTTCGGCTCAGGTCATGATCCCAGCATCAGGCTCTCTGCTCAGCAGGGAGCCTGCTCCCCCCTCTCTCTCTGCCTGCCTCTCTGCCTACTTGTGATCTCTGTCTGTCAAATAAATAAATAAAATCTTAAAAACAAACAAACAAACCTAGCCTTTCTTTTTTTCTGAGGTTTCTGTCCTTCTTCTGCCTCCCCCAGAGTCAATGCAATTCATTATGTGAGTGCGGGACAGGCATTGAGCATATGGGGAGGGCAGGGACATTATGAATGAAGAATGGTCCTATCCTCCAGGACCTCCTAGGCTAGTGGAGGGCCATTGGACAGGTATATTTTAATATGGCAGAAGGAAATCCCTGGAGTCTCGAGGGTTGAAATGAGCAGAAAGGGAGATGAGGGCAGAACTACATTATGACTTCATGACTTCACGGGCCCTTTTGCCTTCCTCAATAAAAAATATCTAAAATTATATTTTATGGGGTACCTGGGTGGTTCAGTCGGTTAAACATCTGACTTTGGCTCAGGTTATGATCTCCAGATCCTGGGATCACACTCAGCAGGGAGTCTGCTTGTCCCTCTCCCTCTGCCCCTCCCCCTGCTCATTCTCTCTCTCTCAAACGAAAAAAAAAATTTTTTTTTAAATTGTTCTATGATTGTGTTGGTATAAAGGTGAATATTACTGCTAAATACTAAAATGTTCGCTTCCACTTATAAACTTGTTTTTTTCCTTCTGATTTTAAAGGAAATTAAAACATTTTTATAATGTGGACTCTAGGCCCTGTGCCTACTACGCTAATGGATGAGTCAACCCTGGACTAGGGTAATGGGGGATAGTGTGAGATCCCTGGGTAGCTGGGAATGGAGACACAGGAAGAAGACAAAGACTTACAGTTTTGTTTAGCTCCAACCTGATATCCAAGGCAGACCCCATAAACCAGCCAGCGCTAGGGAAGGACAAGTTTGGGTGCTGGGGTTTGGGAGCTCAGGGGGGCTCATGCTGCAGACACTTTTTCATGAAGAAGCGGTCTCCTTGCTGACAAACCCCTTCTGGGCCAAGAGCTTCAGCAGGCGGCTGATGGCGGAGAAGACCAGATGGTGGTTCATTTGGAGCCACCTCACATGGGAGCCCCAGCTGCCTTGGTCTTGTGAAAGCAACCCCATCAACCCTCTGTCACTAATGCCACTCTCATGGGGGACAGTTTGGGGAGGGCTGGCAAGTAGAACTCTCACAGGTTTGGGCCCTGCTTCTGGAAAGTGCCAAGAATCCGATGAGCTGTCAGTACCCCCAACAAAGGGAAGGGGTTTTTGGATAAGTGTATGTGTGTATGTGAGAGGGACATGGAGGAGGAATGTGGTTCACTGTTGTTTCTGATTAATTCATTTCATTAAACGCTGATTGCCAACAAAACCAGGAGTGTGTAAGGAGTTTGTGACTTAAAGAGCCCAATTCGGATTTTTTACTTTAGAACGTGACCCCATGCATCTGAGACCATTCCTGCCGCTGAGCCCTGGAGGTTTGTGTTGGCTTGGAATCAGCTGCACTCGCCTTCCCCATTGCCATGGTGATTCTTGGACTGGTTGAAGGGAGCTGGTTTCAGCTTCTCTCTCTCTCTCTCACACACACACACACCCAGGACCATTCCTTTCCCTAAGCTCCCTCACAGCCCCCACCCATCTCTCTCCCTGCTCCCCGCCTTTCCACCCTGCCCCACCTCGTGAGTTTTCCATCTCTTGGCCTTTGTTTGTTTTGCTTTTGTCAGTCTCCCTCCTCTGGATGGGTTTGTGTTTGTTTCCAAACTGTCTGGGGCTGTGTACCAGGGAGACGGTGTCCTGGGCTGCCTCTAGCCCTGATCTGGTTAGAATAAGCCCCTCTCCTTTGTATGATCTCCAACCTGACATTTGGAACATCCAAAACAAATCATGACATTCTGAAGCAAGATAGAAACCACCATCTCCACCCACTCCTGTTGGCACTCTTGTCCACCTGGAAAGGGTTTTAGAAAATTTCCAGTTGTTTTCCACATCATGCAGCCCTGAGAAGGGGACACAGGATTTATTGAATACCTACTGTATACCAACCACTGGGCTTGGCTTTGTGTGCCTTAAAAATCCGGTGGTGAAGGCCACGTTTCCTGCATTTAAATCAACTGCAAGCTGTGGGCAGGGCCCAGGCTATCTTGGTATACCCAAGAATCTCAAATATGGTGGATACTCAAGAAAAGTTTGTTGAGGAAATAAATGGATGAAACATGCAAGAAACTTCCCTGCCATAGCAGAGAGTAATGACTGAATATCAGCAGAGATGACTGAAGTTAGACTTGAGAAAAAACCCATTGGCAAGGCCATGTGCATGGGTGAGGGTTTCTGGGAAGGTAGTGGATATTTGATGCTTAGTTTCAGAGTCCCATTTGCTCTCTGTACCTTTTGCTGAATAGTCAGGGGTGGGTGGGACAGTGCCTTTTGTTTCACTGAAAAGGCTGAATTAAAATGCAAATTGTCCAGTGAAAGGTTAAGCTATTTATATGATGCTTATTCATACACACAGAAGTGACTGATGATAAAGTCCTTTCTAAGAACAGGATTTAGGAATAAGCTGGGGAGAGTGGTGGTTGACAGAAAGCAACCACGGGAGATTAAAGGGCAAGAGATTTGAGGGGGTAGGGGGAGAAAGGGGGAGAAGGCTGGGGCCACTGGAATCAAACTTCCTTCAATGCCCACTTAGCATCAAACTTCTTTAAATGCCCACTTAGCCAGGGGAAGACCCGTGTGCAAACAGTCTGTGGGGCCGACAGGGCCTTCCAGCCCCCACAGCATTGGACAGGTGAGTCAAACTGCCTGCTAGTGGGGGCAGGAAGAAGACCTGGCCAGTCTGATTCCTGTATGGATTACAGATTGGCTTAAAGATGTAGTTTTACTGGGAGGCCTGGGTGTCTCAGTTGGTTGGGCGGCTGCCTTCAGCTCCGGTCATGATCCTGGAGTCCCGGGATAGAGTCCCGCTTCAGGCTTCCTGCTCAGTGGGGTGTCTGCTTCTCCCTCTGACCCTCCCACTTCTCATGCTCTCTCTCTCTCTCAAATAAATAAATAAAATCTTAAAAAAAAAAAAAGGCGCCTGGGTGGCTCAGTGGGTTAAGCCGCTGCCTTCGGCTCAGGTCATGATCTCAGGGTCCTGGGATCGAGTCCCGCATCGGGCTCTCTGCTCAGCAGGGAGCCTGCTTCCCTCTCTCTCTCTCTGCCTGCCTCTCCGTCTACTTGTGATCTCTCTCTGTCAAATAAATAAATAAAATCTTAAAAAAAAAAAAAGATGTAGTTTTACTGATCCTAGGCAAATATAGGCTATCCCAAATGGGCCCAGTAACACACTGCCTATCAGAGAGCTGTAGGGATTTAAAACTGGCAATCTATTCTTAGAGGGCTTGGGGGTGCTTGAAAGTACTAGTCTTGTTAGCTCTTTGAACCTTTGGATGACAGCTGTTGGTCTCGTGGCCCATGGTCCATTTACCCTCCTGGTTCCATACCCCACCTTCCCTCTGGGACACCAACCTCTTTGCCACCCTCATTGGTTCTGGGTAAGGCAGACTGTCCCTTCTACCCACACACTCTAGGGGCAGAGCAGTGGCTCAGGCCTGAGCCAATCAGCAAGCTGCATTCTGCTGACCTTAATGACTGGTTGAGATACTAACATGTGATCCAATAGG